ATGGCCTTCATATAGCCCTGACCTCAATCCTATAGAAAATGTTTGGGCAGTTCTTAAACATAATGTTGAAAAAAGAGTCAAAAGTATGGTTATAGCAAAAAAAAAAAAGTGTCAAAAGAAGCTTTCATTGCATTAATAGAGGAAGAATGGCAAGATCTTCCATTAGAGGTTATCACTAATAACATTCTTAGTATGTCAAATCGTATTAAATCCTGTATTGAGATGGAGGGAGGGCACACAATGTATTAATTTTTTCAGTGTATAATAATAAACTTATAAGTATTCTAAATATAAAATTTCAGGACAAGTTACTTTGTAAAAAAAATTTTTATTCCAAAAAGTCCGACCACCATTATTTTTTTCCAGGACTGTATTTAGGGATATTAATGATAATAATTGGTACAGTCGTTGGCTGGCAATAACCCTTTTTTTCATTATCAATAATTTCGTGTTACACTGTATATGCGTGAATTATGCACCACAACCCATCACATACAAAATAATGGATAATATAAATAAGCTATGATAGCACAACTAAAAAACACATTACAACTACAACAGCTATTTATCCTCTTAATTTTCTCTCTGCAAAAGCCATTCACAAAAGCTTCCAAGACTGAATATCTCCCATCTGGTTCTGCCAGATCTAGACCAGTGTTTGATCTAGCCTTCCCTGGCCACCTTAATATTAAGACCTTAACGTTAATATTAACTGACTGATTTTGTGGTAAATCATTTGCAGCCTCTTCCCAATATGCTTTAGGCACTACTACTACTAGAGAGGACATACCTGATTAAGATAAACGACTAGTTTTTCAGAATTGAAAAACTTTGCTGCATTAGACTACATATACACACCTCTTACTCTTGATCCACTGAATGTATATGTCACCTCACTCATTTTATTAAAGAACTCACTTGCCAGAGTATATGATCCAAAATGAATGTGGCCATATCTGATCATTAGACACACTGTCAAATTTTACTACAGCCTTGTAAAATGTGACATAAGAGGAGACAACATAGTCTGATCAGTAACTGCACCAGCTCAGCAAGAATTTAAACTTCTCCAAAATTACCCTTTGCTGTAATGTTTTATCCTGTTAAGGAAAAATTTTATCATCAATAACATATGGCTCATCAAAGAATCAAAACATACTAATACAGACTTCTGCCTCCATATTTCCCTTTCCGAATCTAGATGCTGAAGAAGGAAGATCCTGCAAGCCATAGCTTGAACTGGAACCAGAACCGAGTCTCGTTTTCCTGACAGATCCGCAAGCACCACGCGGAGTCATCTCTGGCAAGGCGTTTTGGTTGGTCGTGTTCGTCACAAGTGAAAAAATAAAAGCACCGAGGAACATTCCGTACAACGACATTTATTCTGTCGTTCAGACCTTTGTTGCATAACGTACTAAAGTAAATAATCCCATGACATCAAATTAAAATAAAATGAAGATAATTAATACTACAAGAACGCGCTTTCTATTAACACTATGAATAACAAATGGTTAGCTACTGGTTTATTAGAAGAAATATAATTTGTTAAGACAAAAACCAAAACCCCATCAACAAACATTTGCGAAGGATGTTGCTAAATGGCATAACTTGTAATGGGTCAACTCCGCAGTCCGGGAGCGCCAATTAAGACTATAAAGTCAAAATCAATAAGAAATCTTCGATTGGAACAAAATGGTGAAACACCTCCCCAAGAGGCAACCGCAATTGAATGAAAAATACCGAGAATATGTAGGTTTGCAGCGGGCAACAAAAAAGTGATGACAAGTTTTAATTATAGTGAAAGTATAATATGACGTAAACATCTGAACCCTGAAATATATATTTTTTTGTTCGCTTTGTAATAATGGGTGTGTGTAATTAAATGCAACCAATAAGTTTGTGGCGTCATGTTCAGGTTTTTTTGCAGTATTATTTATTACATGACCAGACCTTGATTTTGGATAGTTACCTTTGTACCATTATGAATAAATTAAACCATGACGGCCTGCTTGTTCTCGAACAACCGTTCGTAAAGGTACGCCTGAGCTTACAATTGACACTAATAAATATATCAAATTGTACGTTGTATTAACGCTAATCTCCCCATCCCCCCCTTTTTCAGGTTCCTCTCGAACAGCTCAAGAAATCAGCACGCACAGCACAAAAGCAACTCGACAAAGATTTGTCATATGTCTCGCAAGCAGTAACTGAACTTGCTAATAAGTGTGACAACGAGCAAATCGACCCAGCGAGAGCTTCAATGACATTAGAAAACATGGTTGGGAGATTACAGAATCTAAAGCGGAAGGTAACAATATTCTTTTCGAATAAAAATTTCCAGTTTTTTTTTTTTAAAAAAAAAAAAAAAAAGGGAAAGATTGTTGAATGATAAAAAATTAGACACAACCTCTTACAAATAAAGCGCTCAGTAATATCTTCTTTTTTTCTCTACAATACCATCACCTCTAAAGTTGACCGACATTAAATCAGAAGAGTCTCTCTATGTATCTCGATCTCGTCAACGACTCGAACATCTTAATGGTCTCACGAAGATACCTACTGCAAACTCCGATGCATATACTAGATGGAGCCGCGTAAGGTTAGACAGAATTCTAGTTGACTATATGTTGCGCGAAGGCTTTAACGAAACTGCCGGACAGCTGGCAAGGGAAGAAGGAATAGAGGTTGGTTTGATTTTGATTTCTTTGGTGAATAAGGAGAGCAGATCACGGACGAGGAGCGAATGAGTTGTGAAGTCAAATATCATTAGTGACAATTTTTCGCACTTTATTTAGTCATATGTCGACATGGAGCTATTTACACAATCAAAGAGAGTTGAGCAGGCGTTACAGAGATTCAGCTGTACGGAAGCTTTGCAATGGTGTAATGAAAATAAGAGTAATTTAAGGAAAATGAAGGTAAAATGAGTATTTAATTGTACGATTGTTATTATTTGAATAACGAAAAGACTTTTTTGTAATTATTATAATTATTCGATATTATGATATGGCTTTTTGCACAGAGTACTTTTGAATTTAATCTACGACTACAAGAATACATAGAACTTGTCAGAGCAAGGAAAACTTCCGAAGCAATCACGTATTCACGTAAATATCTTACGACTTGGCCAACAGCTCATCTGAAAGAAATTTATCAGGCGATGGCGTTACTTGCCTTCCCTTCTACTACCCAATGTATGCCATACAAAGTAGGTCAATAATCAACCAAAGGAAGCATACGCATATTTACGTTCTCGTGAACAGTTACATGATTTTTAAACCTTTCGTTGTATTACTATCCCCATTTAGAAACTTTACGACCGGGCGAGATGGGATGCACTTATACTGCAGTTCCGTGCAGATAACTTTGCGCTAAATTCTCTTACGTCTCAGCCTCTTCTTAGCGTAACACTTCAGGCGGGGCTATCAGCTTTGAAAACTCCAATGTGTTATCAGCCTGAAAATAAAAACATTAACTGTCCTGTGTGTTCTGATACTCTGGGCGAGTTGGCAGAGAAGTTGCCGTTGAGCCATCACGTTAATTCGACTATAGTATGTCGTTTGAGTGGTGAGATCATGGATGAAGATAACCCACCCATGGCTCTACAGAATGGATATGTGTATTCGCACAAGGTATTGTATCATGGTGATTCGCAAGCAGAAGAATGAATAGGGTGCTGATGTCTATATTTTTAGGCGTTGAAGGAAATGGCAGCAAAAAACAATAATCAAATTACATGTCCACGTACTGGAGCCGTCTATGACCAGTCGACTTTGAAAAAAGTATTTGTTTCATAAGCCAATAATTTCACGATAAATCATCAAGAAGAGAGCATTAAACATGGAGAGGTGGCAAGCTCGTAGGTATGACTTGCCTTTAATGAGATATGATGAATGAAAAGTTTTCTAGTAAGAATCTATTAATAGTAATTCTGTTGAACAAAGCTTTAAATAAATTAAGCTAATTTGTTAGTCCCAAAGCATCATTACAATAGTATATTGCATTTCGTCAAATAAGTCTTCGCAATGGCTAGTATATACAAATTGAAGATTCATAAGAGAAATGCTTAACGTATATTTGTCATGAGATAGTGTGTTACTAACGTGTGTCGCAGATTATTAGATCGAATTTTTAAAGAACTATGATTGACAGACAGTGGTTGGATGACAACTTGTATAATATTAATATCGGAAAACTCTTCTTGGACACTAAAATGTACACCCACCCCTTCCCCTGCCAAAAGTATGAAATCTACTAGTAAACATGAAAAATCTTTTTCCGAAAATCTTTATTGTACGTGTTTACTATGTAAATCGCAATGATTTTTGTATCGTTTGATTTATTTATACACATACGTGTAACCCTAAATCGAACCACAATTAATATTAAATACAATCAATTAGCACAAAAATCATCGTAACTTACATAGTACGTATGGACAATAGAGATTTTCAAAAAGGTTTTTACTAAATTTCGAGGAATGACCAATACTTTTGGCCAATATGTGTACTCTAGTTAATGGTACATTGCTCAAAAATCGACAGTATAAAATCTTGAGGTTTGGTTCTATTTAATTTAACGCACAGCGATCCATTGGTCTATAAAAGTCCTTTTAAATGCTCTTCGCTACTGACCAAGTCCACTTGCCATCTTCCAGTAGTCTTTGCTAACTCTTCATCCTCTTCAACTACTATTCTTACATTTCGTGTCCCAGGAATTATCTCTTCTCTTTCACCCGGCACCCAAGTTGCCCTTGATATAGCACAGTAACCCACGTTTATCCATAACGCACTTCTCGAACATACTTCTAGAAGCACATTCACACACCATCCGTGAGTTACAATGATCAAAACTACGTTTTTCGGTGACGTGGAATTCTGGTAGGCTGTAATATAAGGCTGAGTAATGCCGTTGAGGGCCCCTTTACAACGATCAATGACTTGTTGCAGGCTCTCGGGAAAATTTGCAAGGGTAGATAACACAGGAATGTACGACCAATCCACTGAGAATGATGGACTAGACGTTGTCGTCATCTGCTGAATTCGCTCTATACCCGTATTTATTAGGCTATCTGGCACTGCTTGGTTATAATACGTGGCACTGTGCCATTCACTGATAGCCGGTTCGAGTCGTACTATTGTCCCATTATTGATTTCCTCCGCTATACTAAGAGCCGTTTGTATAGTTCTTAAAAAAGGTGAGGCATATACGACATACTCTGTAGGTAAATTATCTCCTGCCGTTCTCTCTGATTGTGCGTGCTTGATGTGGCTGCCTGTTCTTTTTGCTTGCATGATGCCAAAGTCTGTCAAGGGTGGATCGTAAGGTGTGGGAGACGTAACAAGGAAGTCAAGATCTACGTGGTCTAATCTCTCTCCATGGCGGACAAAATAAACTGTGACAGACATATCCGCAAGATTTGCAGTGAAATGTATGATTTTATGAAAAGAAAGGGCTTCAGAATAGCGCTCCGGCTAATGGCGTTTATTGCTCGGCTCTATTAACGCTAAAACAAAGAAGCTAACGTAGCAAGTGACCTAATCATGGTTTTATCGTGTAACGGTCACGGTTTACATTCTAATTCGTTACGTTACCCAAATCTGAATTTGATCAAGGCATTTCTTTGTTTGGCAATTCAGCTCAAGTTAGACAAGTTATTGATAGTATTATTATTATAACTTTCCTAAATTTTCACTATTTGGAGATAACCTTTGGTTTCATTTATTTTTGGTTACCTATACCTGAGATATCGTATACTGTAAAAGCAACACAGGCTATGAGTGATGCAACTGGGTTCTGTCTGGACTGAGTGACTGGGTTCCGAACCGAGACAGGTCCCAAACTCAGACACAACAATTATATGTTCATTCATGATTTCAGTGACATCCATTGATACAATATGATCTTAGAACAATGTCGGTTCTAAAATATAATGTTGTTTGCATATATTCTATTATATTAATGAATTCATAACTTATACATAAAGTATTTAATATTCTCAAAATTTAGCTCTAAACGTGGTCCCGTTTACACGCTCGCATCAATTAAGGCGTAGCTAAAATTTGCAGGCGGCTCTTTATGCCTCCTATTGCCAAATATAAACTCTGTGTGCTATACTATCTAACTAAATAATTAAAAATAATAAAAACGTTTTATATTGCACCGATAATCGAACTATTCTTCCTGTCTTGGTCTGATACTCCAGCGTCCGCTTAACTACAGCTAGATATTAATTCAACTTCCGTAAGCTGGCCTGTCGACAATATAAATAGACACTTCCGTACAGCAACAATGACGCACCTATTATTAGAACAACAACTATAATGATCCTTAGTCGAAGAGTGTATTATCCCAGCATGAGAGGGCGTTGTTTATGCTCTAAATTTTGGACTAGAACGGTCTGCGCCCCAGAACACTAATCTTTTATCAAAAATTGTGCAGCAGCTTTCTGAATTTCCCTCTTTATAGGGCCAAAAGCATAAGTTTAATGAATGGCAATATTTTATTAAGTATCCTATAGATTAACGTAATCGATATCCGCAGTAGCGTAAATTTAACATGTTCAGTTTTGATAAGTCGTGTTCGACTGAAAACCAGAACTTGTAAAGTAAAGAACGTTTTAGAAATAAATACGTTCACTGTCAAATTTACCAGTTCCAAGTGCAAGGTAAATTTAATTATAACATGTCAATTAATAAGAATTTTGTATAAAACTTCTCTTTTCTTTCGTTCATTATAATTGTTGAAATTATTATTCTTCTTTTTCTTACTATTAATTATTGTCGCGGCTGATGCTGAAACCACGACCTTTCATTGGTTAATCAGATTTTATTCTCTAACCCCATTGGTTAGTTTCAGCTTCAGCCGGATTTCAGCATCAGCTCCCACAATTATTATTGTACTGTTAATGGGCAGATAAACTATTGCTCCCAACCGGCATGCCAAGTAGCAAACTCATATTTCCAAGAATATTTTCGAAAATAATAAATCGGTAAAAGAAATTTTATAAAAAAAATCCCCCCATTTTTTCGGTTACAAGTTACACCCAAATTAATGGTTTTGAGGCGAAATAACATAAATTTTGACATCGGTTGTTTAATAGTAACTTTGTATCTAAACGTACTTAAACCATCAGCAACTAATACACGACTTCGAATCTACGTCTATCCGACTGAAGGCTGAACATGCGGTCCGAATCTGTAAGCGTACACCATGGTAATTAGCACCGAATTAGTGATATACTGAACCGTAGTCTTGAGACGTTCACTTTGTTTTCTCAAATCGATAACGAATAATGGGTAGAGATCGCAAAATCATCATTAGTACGATTAAAAGTGAGGGTATGTTTAACGCCATATAAAACTTTTTATAATTCTCGCAAACCCAAATATATGGCTAAGAGGTACCGCAAAACTAAAACTACCGCGAGGTCGGGATAATATTTTGCTTAGCATTAAATCCTATGTTTTCATCCAAAACGGTGCCTCTACCGGTATCTTTATACCAGCATTGATTCAACCCTTCGCCTACCTCAAAATTATTCATAACCCTTTCATTGTAGTGGCATGTCCGGGGTTAAATATTCTTTCGATCTCCTTGTCATTCAGCAGGTATTTCACTTCATGGAATAAAAACATAATTCCGTTATTTGTTAACGCAACAGGCGTATCATCTGCGTCGGGATAATTATTATTATTGGCTAGTTTTAACTGTCCTTCAACCAATAAATAGGATTCCGATGGAAGAAGAAATTGATCTTGGTTATTGATATCAATAGATATCTCACTGGTTGTATTAATTGTGGCAGATTAAAACGAAATCGGATTAAAACGAAATTGGGGTCTTTTTGGATCCTCTTTTTAATGCCTCTAAACCCACATATACTCTTCTATTAACAAAAATTCCAACCCAACCCCCCCCCCAAAAAAAAATAAAATTTTTTTTAAATTCTCATATTAAAATAGAAAAAATTTCGTTTTAATCCGATTTCGTTTTAATCTGTCACAACGACTTTTTCAAATTGCGTATAATATCTTTCGATTTCTCTGACAGAGCCTTCTGTGAAACTGAGGGAGGGATTGGTTCTTTGACTATCTCCACGCTATTTTCGATGCCCTTTCCTTCTACGTGACGGCGTCGGCGTGGTTTGTTTTTAAATACTAGCATTTTACACTCCTAATATGTATTCGGATATTTATAGTTTCATCACAAAGGTTCAATTCGTTGCCATTCTGGTCAGCGAGCCATACATTCATTTACCGAATTTGGTCTGTGGATAAATAAGGTTTTTGGCAGTTTCAATAATTTTCTGACCCGGTAACGCTTTGGGGTAAAAGCTATATAAAACTGGATAGGGATTACCATTAAGGTAAGATGATAAAATCAAGTCGCAGTTGACCATAATACTATTTACTGGCTGTATTCTAGCCGGATGTTCAGACATATTAATATACTGTACTAGTACATAGTGAAACCCGTTAAACCGAAGTGTAAATTTAATATAGAGGGTTTAGAACTTACCTGCGGTTTAACGAATTCGGATCAACGGGGTTGACTGTGTATTTAGTAACTCAAAGCGTATTTCTTTACTCGATATGTCCATTACTAACTTATTTAAAGCGTTTTTATGTGTCGGGGCTACATTGTTACGCCATTTTAATACAAGTGTATTTCTATTCTTCGCAATATACGCTTTGATTGCGCTATTTTAATACAATCGTTTCTATTCAAATTGCGTTGTTGCACCAATAGAAGAATAGTCACTAACGTATTTAGTAACTCAAAACATATTTTCACAATGATATGTCGAGCCATGCTTACTTACAATTGTATTGCATCCCGCACCCATAGAAGAACAACCGATCGTTACTTCCTTTAGAATAATCGAAAAATCAAATCTGGCGGAATTCTGAACGTCACTTATGGTGCTAGTGAAGTAAATTTGGTAGAATTAGCTGAGTTTTTTGAATTAGATAAAATACCTCAATGAATAATAAGTGGCAAGAGGCCAAAGCTTAGTTATAACTGCATCAGGTAGTCAAGATGTGATTGTAGAAAAACCAAGCAGAAGTGCACAACGCTATGTCATAAAGATAACGTAACTGTCTTAACTATTAAATTTTATTTAAAGCCGTATTTCGAAGTAAATTTGTCATTATAAAAAATTTTTTATCACTAATCGGTGATTTTGTTTTATTTTTATTTTTTATTTTGGACCTTGGACGGGATTTACATATGTAAATGCCGTCACCATGTAAATATATATACAGCCTTTTCTCTTTCGTATGAGTCAAAATTCTGGGCTCAGATGCATTTGCAAAAAGGTCGTGTCAGTAGATTCCCCAAATTTATCTACCGTTATGATTGATAGTAACACAGCAAGGTAAACAGTTCATTTTATGTTGAGCTTTACTGCATAATTATTAAAAGTTCGAACCAACATTTGATTATAGTAAATAACTTCATTATTATGGTAGGTTATTTAAAAATGTTCCCAGAAGAGGCTCATGCTGAGGTTTCGAGGTCTTTATTTAGGCACACATGGGGTGACCCCTAGTTTTCTGTGCTTCTACTACCTATCAAGACATATCTAGCACCTTGAGGTACTAGTACATATTACTAATAAATAAAACATAAACTTACAAATAAATATAATATACATATACATATAACATAATTCTATACTACTGTACATTCTATATATACTATTTACAGGACGGATTGACATCTCTCATATGAAAGGAATTGGATGAGCGCTCACTGTGAAAACAAGGAGCTCGGAGTAAAGAAAACGGCTAGAAAAGTTCTATCCGGCCAATTTCTTCGGAGTGGTGGCTTGGTGGTCCTTTTACGGTAGTGTTCCAGAAGACCGAAATATGTATGTCCGATTCTCTGCACTGTTACGGGTTGTTCCGCTTGTCTTGCAGCAATATGCGCAAGCCAGATGGCTTGATGTGCTATTGCTTTAAAGTAGCGGCGTTGTCGTTGGCTTTTTCCAATACAGATCGTGTTTACATCGGACCAGTAAGTAGTCAGCGATCTGCATTCACTGAACATGTGAGCAGTATCTTCGGTATATCCTGTACACATGTCACATAGGCCAGTGAATTTATCTGGGGCGATGTGGGAGAGGCGTTGCTGTGTTGGCAGGGCATTGTGTGCAGCCCTCCATAGCAGTTCTTGTATCTTTGGGGGTAGATAGGCTCATGCTGAGGCTTCAGGAACGTAAATGAATTATTTTTCTGTGGACATAGTCGAATTTACTTAATATGTCATTCCTAATCAGGGAAGAATCCACATGATTACCAGGTTTTGGTTCCCAAACTCGAAGAGTATTAGTTTGGACCCAATGGCTCCAGCCATTGTTGTCCCCAATGGACACTAAAAATGGATCACAAGCCAAAAACAATCTACTAGGTACTCCATAGCCCAGAGCAAGGGTAGATTCCTTGTGCCAACCCTTTTTCCAAGGCGTCGACGCACGGTATAAGGTAATATTGTTTCTGGCGCGCCTGTGTCGATAACCGTCTTGTATAACTTATTTTCGTCAAGAGCTTCACGGAAATTGTAACCAAGTACGATCGATAGAACTTTCATCCTCTGATCCGACTCTTTTGACTCGAACCTTGAGCCTTATTAATAATAATATTTATTATAAGTCAGTTAATTTTATTGTTATTTATATTTTAGCAATAATCAATCGATTCAGACCAGGTGTTCTCCAGAGTTGGAACGCCAAGATTTCACCATCCTCGGCGCGGGGACTAGATGATGATATTTTCCACGAAGTAATGGATCAACTGGGATATAAATGGCAGCGGGAATTTCCTCTTGGAGGTCTGTTAATTGCTGATTTGTATATTCATCTGACCCATACTTCACTACCTTCTGTCCGTTCACCAGTACCCAGTCTTTCTGATGTTCATCAAACTTGCCCGCCTCGAGACTGTTATAGAAGTAGAGAACTTCTCGATCCATGTCACCTCCAGGAGCGTTAAAGTTAAGATCATCAGTGAAACCCCAGAAAACCTGACTTCTAATGTTATCGGGCATCGAAGCGAAGCCATGTACCATGCGATCTGCAAAGACATCGGTTAAGGAAACAAAATATATAAGCGTGTGTAAAGCAAATTTGGTCGTACCTAAAAATTTCTGTGCTTCGCCTGGCTCTTTTTCATACGCACGAAGGGATTCCACAGTTTCGGGTGGAGTGATTGGAGGCTCAAGATGAAGGACGTCAAGTGTGCTTGTAATGTTTTGAGCCGTGGTGTCCTGAGTGTTTTGAGCCATGGCGTTAGTCTCGGGCTGAGCGGGGATGGTCTTGGTCAGGTTCATAAGTAGTTATCATAGACTTGCTCGAAGTGCTTTGAGCCGGGCTGCTGGAACTTTAAACCGTGTATTCTTCAGTAAGGTCTGTGGTTTGAGGGCCTTGAGCTGTGGTGAGTAAAGTGCTTGAGTACAATATAACTCTGAAAGTACTATCATTGACAGCGTCTCCGCCTTTCGGTGAATTTTTTTTCAGCGGCTTGAAGTCAAGATGCGATTACATAGAAAATATATATACCTTCAATCGATCAAATACCATATCAAGGGGCGCTTCTTTATGTTCGAGTTTTGGTATCTCCCCTGACATATGATGGCGAGGGGTAACAATGATCGCTTGGTTAAGGATGCATTAATATAATCCGCGTCACCATATAAATCCCGGATTTATATATAATTTGCATAATAATAACAATAACGCAATATATATAATCATCCCTGAGCGCAGTTTATACATAATTTATGGCGGATTATAATGACACCCCCCAAACTTGATATTTATGTGACGGATATTTATTTACCCTGATAAGAATGATAAAACGCTTTATTATATTACATTTGATCTTTTTCGAGGGCGCTTCTTTATGTTCGAGTTTTGGCAAAGGTAATATTATAGCACTAAAACGAAAATGAAAACGAAAACGATTTCAGCCAATAGAATCAGTTATAATCGCCTCATAATCGGTTATAATCGTCGGTGTAACAACCCAACAAGCTTTCTTTTCTTGCCTTTGCGCTAAGTAAAGAGGTAAAGTATTATTAAGTAGGCGTCTTCTACTCTTCAGAAAGGTTTAGTAATCACTGGCTTGCAAAAAAAGTTGTGCCCTGCCCAAATGCTGAATTTTGAAAAGAGCGATAATATACAATGATCGCGTTGTATATAATTTGCGTCACCATATACATCCCGGATTTATATTATGTATATGATTTACGTCAGATCACCCTTGAACGCAGTTTATACATAATTTTTATGTGGCGGACAATTTATTTACCCCTGATAAGAAAATAATGATAAAACGCTTTATTATGATCTTTCAAACATAGTACATAATTCTGACAATTAGAACTAGTTTTATGACAATATACATCACAACTCTGTCTACAACTGCATCGACTATCGAGGCATGTACCCTTACATATACATCTTGTCTGTCTACCAGATGCGACCCCAACTACGCTTTGATTTCTTGCAGCTTCCCTTAATGTTATTTGTTGCGTAGGTATATTTTGTAATTCAGGAAAATCTAACCATTGCGGTTATTAGACTTGATATTGTAATTGCTGTATAATTATAAAAATGGGCAAACTGTATGTATCCCTTAAACTGATGGTGCCCCCTTTTTTGACTATGTCACTATGCCATTCTCATTAGACTTGATAATAAAAGGTTTACGTCTATATTAATATGTGTAATTTAACATATTTCAAAAATACAGCAGGAAGGATACTGTTCACGTGATTAAGACATTAACCAGAATTAACAAAATTTGTATTTTTTTTTGCTATGCAATAGTCACCCCTCTGTTAAATAAAATCGTTGACATACTTATTATGTACATACAGCAATCGAATACTTTAAGTGTAAATAGTTCTGTATTATCAGGGATAAAAGACTTGCAACGTCAGATAAGAAAAAAACAAGTCGATTCTCTAAAACAAGCTAGTCTGCAGGATTATTTTACGATTACGATGTGATTATTATTATTATTATTAAAGGGTTAATTAAAAGACTTAATCACGTGATTCTCGATAAGTCGGTTTTCTCGATAAGTCGGCCATTAGAGGTCAAACCCAGTTGGCCGACTTATCGAGACTGACTGTGTATTATTTTTAAAATCTTCATAATAAGCTCTACAAAGTTACCGGTCAAATTTTAAAAATAACAGTATAGAAAGTTTTAGGGTTTTAAAGTTGAAACAACCACGTGATCGTATGAGTAGCATATAATTGGTTAAAACTGGTGGATCGAACTAAATATAATTTTATTATTTTAACGAGTCTATCAGTTTATATATAGTAATAGTGTTGTTATAAGCCGAAAGCTTGTGTAAACTATATATAAATTCGGCTTATTGCGAAATTTGATATCTCGATAAGCCGAATAAATTGTCCCTTCCCGCGATCTTTGGTTTGTCGAGTTTCACTTGTACTCATATTAAATAAAATACTACGATCGGTAGTAAAATTAATTAAAAGTTATTGTCTACAATTGTTAATTGTTTCCTTCACTAAATGAATAGAAGGATATTGGATGCGTTGAATTTATCGCCCTTTTATTGCTTAGGAGGCTAAATTAAGCCGGGTAGGCCAGCTTACGGAAGTTAGATTAATATCTAGCTGTAGTTAAGCGGACGCTGGAGTATCAGAAAGAATAGTTCAATTATCGACGCAATATACATAGAGATAGTTTAGTACAACATTTGAGTGCCTGATCCGACTCTTTTAACTCGAACCTTGAGCTTTATTAATAATATTATTTATTATAAGTCAGTTAATTTTATTTATATTTTAGCAATAATCAATCGATCAGACCAGGTGTTCAACTGCCCCAAGGGGAAATAGAGTATTTTATTTATACAAAATTCAATTGAAATTGATGCTTACAATTCATTTTTACTACAAGTCCCGAAAATTATTTACCCCTAAGTAATTTCCTTATTAGAGCAGGGAGCCTTTATCAGGAAACATACCAAAATTTTTGACTGTAAATCGTTGATCTATTTATTGTCCTCCAAAGCTATTCCTGATTTAGCCAGTGAGCCACGCACAAGTTTCGTTTCGGGAAATCGAAATGTACACAAAGATAAAAATATTTTAACTGGCCAGAGATGTAATACAGAAGTCACGCTCCTGCAACAAAACCTCCAGCCTACTGGGGTACTTGTGTTCTCCATAATTGGAACGCCGAGATTTCACTTCCTCGCCGCGGGGACTGGATGAAATATTTTTTCACGAAGTAATGGATCAACTGGGAGATAAATGGCAGCGGGCATTTCATCTTGGAGGTCTGATAATTGCTGATTCGTATACTCATCTGACCCATACTTTACTACCTTCTGTCCGTTCACCAGTACCCAGTCTTTCTGATGTTCATCAAACATTCCCGCCTCAAGACTGTTATAGAAGTAAAGAAAATTTGCCACGATTTCTCGATCTATATCACCTCCAGGAGCGTTAAAGTTAAGATCATCTGTGAACCCCCAGAAAACCTGACCTCTAATGTTATCGGGCATCGAAGCGGGCCACGTGAAGCCATGTACCATGCGATCTACAAAGACATCAGTTAAGGAAACAAAATATATATAATAATAATAAGCGTGTGTAAAGCAAATTTGGTTGTACCTAAAAACTTCTGTGCTTCGCCTGGCTCTTTTTCATATGCACGAAGGGATTCCACAGTTTCGGGTGGAGTGATTGGAGAGTCAAGATGAAGGGTGTCAAGTGTGCTTGTAATGTTTTGAGCCGTGGTGTACTGAGTGTTTTGAGCCATGGTGTACTGAGTGTTTTGAGCCGTGGTGTACTGAGTGTTTTGAGCCATGGCGTTAGTCTCAGGCTGATCGGGAATATTTGCTGATGGTTCTTGGTCAGGTTCACGAGTAGTTATCATAGACTTGCTCGAAGTGCTTTGAGCCGTGCTGCTGGAACTTTGAACCGTGTATTCTTCAGTAAGGTCTGTGGTTTGAGGGCCTTGAGCTATGGTGAGTAAGTGCTTGAGTACAATATAACTCTACTATCTTTGACAGCAACAAAAAACTGGACCTTTGCATCTCCGTCTTTCGGTGAATTTTTTTGTAACTTTTTTCAGTAGGCTTGGCATGGCTTGAAGTCAAGATGTGATTACACAATATAATTCGCGTCACCATATAAATTCCGGATTTATATATATTAATTTGCATCAGAAAACCCTAAATTTGGTAATGAGGCGTTGTGGCTGGAATCAATTTTAAAAAATTTTTAGAAAAGAGCATAGCGGGCTTTCTTTATGATTGGGCAGAAAATTCTGCAATACCATTGGTTGAATTTTATTAAATAATAATATTTTTCTTAAAAAAAAAAAAAACAATACAAATAAAGTGAAACATATATATATATATATATATATAAGTTTTTCCAACTTAGTGTTAGGCACTTGTTAAAGTATTTAGAGCTCTTGCAAAAAGTAGGTCTACATTGTCATCACTTACACTTAATGAGAAGTCTTCATTACCAGTATCACTGTCATCAACTTCCACAGCCAACCCATCTGTATGCTCATCTGTAGACACCTCATTGAATGAACTAACACTTTTCTGAAAAAT